GCGTTGTTGAAAATTTTACGACAGTGCCACAAAGTTCCCCCCTCTCCTCTTGGCTCCACGTCTCACGAGTCGAAAGCGAGCACACACACGTAATTCAGTGCAAATGTCAAGTTTTGGCCCGTTCTGCTCGAGCTCCGCACCCAGTCCCTGTTTTCTCGAGGCTCGCAAAGAATGTCGCTCCAACATATTACCGGCAAATTAAATATCCATCCCCCAACTAGGAAGGACGAAACAAGCGCGAGCAAAACTCGGGCCCGCAGTACAGTTTCCTCGAGGCCGAGTGAATTTCACGCGTATATGTGTATACATGCTATGTGCACGTATATACGTATAATATGTAGCGCAGATAGAGATTAGCCTCCGCAGAGGGCCGAGTTATACGGCCAGCTGTGCGCGAACCGAGGCAAAGGACGAGATGCGAGAGATAAGACCAACCGCGCGGGGGTACAGGGCGGGGGGGATAAAGAAAGTTAGATAAGCCACGGCGGTCGAGTAAGGGTTGGACTAGCGCGAGTGACGTATACTTAGAAGAGCTGTATCTGCACTTACACGCAACGAAAAGTAAGGGCATCGAGGATCCTCCCTCTCGATCCCTCTGTTGTACAGCGCGATCCATTAATTACACCTTATATACGCCGGGATTCGTTAGTCAAGCTCGTTTAGTGCTCTTTTTTTAGTTTTTTTTTTTTTTTTTTTTTTTTTTTTTTTTTTTTTTTTTTTTTTTTTTTTTTCTTGTTCCTCTTCTTTCCAAGGACGCACTCTATTCGTTTGTACCTAAACCACGAGCCGCTAATTACAGTTATAATAAGGGCACTCGGTTGTTTTTTTCCCCCCTCTTTTTTTTTACACCCACGTCCACCGTCCCCAGATGACTCGACTCTCCCTTTACTAATCACGTTGCTGCGTCAAAGCTGCACCAAGGGGTGGGGTGGGGGGGGGATAAATTTTCATTCCCCCCCTTTCGCTGGAGTGTTGGATGGAAAAAAAAGCTCGGCGACGCGTCTGCAGCGGGTACATAGAATAAAGAAAGAAGAAGATGGGAAGGAGGAGAGTTGGAGGGGGTAAAAATTAATCAAAACTTTTTCACTCCCCCTTGAGCACCCTCGGAATTATCCCATGTTACGCGGGTGGGACGATATATACGCGCACCCCACAAAGACCACCTAACCGATAGGGTATACGTGCAAGGCAAAAAGAGTAATTAAAGAACGAGGGTGTGTGTGTGGGTACCGGTGCGCTATGCATTACATAAGAATATGGAAAGCACGGCTGGCTGTTATAACATGTAGTGGCTGGTGTGTGATGGGTACGCGTTGGAGGCTCCGTGTGAAAGGGAGGGTACGTATACTACGTATAGGTTCCGTACTGTTCGTATACACTTACACAAGAGCAGAGCGACAATCGGCTCGTGGTTGAAGTAAAATCGTTGTGTGTATATATATATACATATGTAGGTCAGACACAGTGTACAGGGAGATGAGAAAAACTGGAGATCCACGAGAGATTATGGATCTTATATTACGAACGTATGCGGATAACTCACGCAAAAAGCGGCTCCTTTATCCGACTATACATATACACATACATCCAGATATGGAGAGAGAGAGCCAAGTTTGCCGCGTTTTCGACAAATTGAGATCGTTTGGCCACTCGCTATCTTTCGGGACTATATGTACCTACGTAATGTCACGCCACGCAAATGACCGTGGCTGTACTGTACAATGAACCTGCCACGTATAAATGCATGGGTACAGCAGCACTCGCAGGCGAGGCACGTCGCTGTGCTCGGCTTAGCTCTATATGTATACGTGATTCATCGTCCGTGACTCCCACTGTGTGGCCAGAGCCAATTAAGCAAGTCCGAGTTTTTGTTGGCCAAGCAAACTTTGTATTTCTGATAAGCAGGGGGTGGCGTGCGGGGGGTGAGAAGAAAGAGGAAGGGGTTTTGTCCCGTGGACAGCTGCTGTTGCACGTTACCCGAGGCGCGGCTAAATGAGCGTAATACATTTTTTTCCCCCTTGCGATGTACGTGCTACTTGTGGGCCCTGTGCATTTACCAGGACAAGAAAACAAAAACAAAAATATGTGCTTTGTGATTTTTATTTTCAAGTGGGTCGTACCTGCACATTAACGTTTTTATCAATTCCAAACGACGCTGCTGAGAATCATTTCGTTGTCACGAGTCTTTGTAATCGCTGTCATGTGCGTGCACTATGAATTTCATTGGTGATTTATTACGAAACGAACGAACAAAACTCCCTAATAGCCAGTGAAATTCTCCATTCGGCATACCTTCGAAATAGTCAATTGAAATCGTTCACGTACCAATTTGTGTATACATTTTGCCCGATATGCCTCGTTGAGTGTTAAAAGTGCAGTTTGTTCGCGTGAGTTATTTTAATTTCTTTTTTCTTTCTCTTCCCTCTGTTTAGGAAACAAAAAAAAAATTTCTATTCTCTCTCGCAAAATTGCATTTAGGAAATCCGAACGCCACTGTTTGCGGACACGCGCACACCAACGAACGCATTCACGAAGATGGACCGAGCGAAACAGGAGCCGTATAACAACATGCCGCTGGTTGGGACAGATAGCCTCCGAGGGAGCGTCCGTGTCGTGGTATAGCTATAACAACAATGGGTGCGATTTCTCGGACAGGAGCTTCCACTCACCGCGAACGAGTGAGAGCACAGGGTGTATTGCCCCCGTTGTTCCGCCGCAGACGGACGGTCTCGCTCGCGATGGTGAAAATTGTTCGTTTGTTCCACACTCCCCTGCCCTCAATATCGTCGCACGGTGTTTTTCTTCTTTTTTTTTCTTTTTTTTTTTTTTTTTTTTTTTTTTTCGTCCGCACTTTGCAACAGTGAATGAAAAAAAAGCGCCAAAGGTGGTGCCCGTGCAAGTTTGTAAAAGCATTTCTATCGCACGTGTGTTACTTTAGCTCGAATCCACGGATGGATGCTCCTTTGTGACGAGAGCACGCCTGGAATACACGAGGAGGACGAAAAAGGACACGCGCCCTCTTTGTTACATGGAACAGTAGGTGCATGAAATGTCGGTACAACAAGCAATGTACTTTATTATTTTTCATTTTATTCAAATGTTCAAAAACGTAATACTTATGTTTGTACAAATCTAACAGAAGCGAGGTACCCCGACTCACGCGCTGTGCGCAGCAAGCACGCTTTGTATACAATATGTGCACACGCGGTACAAAATTACAAAATTGTAAAATAATAATTTTTTTTTTTTTTTTTT